AGGAATACTGAGATAAATGTGGCCAAGGACAGTGCCTGCTCACCCTTGGAGAGGAGACTGGGCAGGGATCAGCTCCCTCCACGTCCCCAGAACAGCAGATAACTCTTCAGTGGTTTACTGCCTCTTGGAGACCCCAGATAAGGCCTGAGGTTGCTCCTCCCTGCACTGGTCCCAGGATCTCCAGCTGGCATTTCCTTGAGCCATCTGCAGTGCATTGTCTGACTTCAGGCCGGGTCCCGAGCTACTGCAGGCCTTGTAGGGGCTGTTCCCAGTGCATCCTTTCTCTTCACAGCTGCACACTTGCCCACCCCGGGAAGGGTGCCACTGGGAATGCTCCATCACCTTCAGCTACCTCAGGGTAGTAAACACTGCCATCAAGCCTGCTCCCAGTGTCCCTAAAGCAACTGCCCTGCAGAGGGAGCCAGGAGTGGGGGGCACTGGGCTGTGCCCCACCTCGCATCCCACCCACCCCACTGCCTTTTCTAGGTATGGCGTCAACAAGCTGGAGGGGATGCTGCGCCCCCTGGTGGAGGATGGCCTGAAGTGTGTGCTGATCTTTGGCGTGCCCAGTAAAGTCCCCAAGGTCAGCTGGGGGGAATGGCTGCAGATGGGTTTCGAGCTGTTGGCCCTGGCAAAGCCGGGGGGGCGGGATGAGGGGAGGGAAGAAGGAGGATGGAAAGGTGTCTTGTGAATCCTCTGAAAAATCAGCTGAAACCCTTCAGCTGCATCTTTGCTGATTTGGGGAGGTCCTTGAGTTGTAGGGAGGTTCTTGGGTTATGATAAGAACACGTCGGCTCAGCAAGACAGAGAGAAGTTGCTGCTTGGATGGGAGATCTCCAGGGACCATCCCAAATGTTGTGGGTATTCTATGTGGCGTCATTGCAGACCCCATTATGCCTGTGTAATGCAAGGGGGAGCTGTAATGCAGGGTGTAGGGCTTGGTAGACTCCAAGTGAGAGCTTCCTATGCTGGCCCCATTGCTTGAAGGCACTGGTGTTGCAAGGAACAGAGTAGATAACTTGGGCTGGGGCATGCGCTCCTTCCGGCCACTGAGCACAACTTGTGCTGCGGGAGTTGTGATTAGGTGGATGAGAATAAAATCCTCCTGATTGCTTACTGCCTACAATTTCCCTGTCTTTCCCAAATGCCAAAGGTATCTCCCTGGCCAAGCCCCAGTGCTCATGTCTGCATCCCATCTCTTGCACTCTCCACAGGCTGTGAGCCCTTTTCTTCTCTCAGTTCTGCAGTGCAGGTGCCCCAGCAGAGTCTGGGTGCAGTGTGTGTGAGGGGACCTCTGTGGAGGGGTGTGACCCTTTAGGATATGTATTTAAAGGAGCATGTCTCCTCCCTTCAGGATGGAAGAGGCTCCGCTGCTGACTCCAAAGACATGCCAGCCATCCAGGCCATCAGGAAGATCCGTTCCTCCTTCCCAGAGCTGCTGATTGCCTGCGATGTCTGCCTGTGCCCCTACACCTCACATGGGCACTGTGGTGAGTACCACAAAGATGGGGACCACAGAGCAATGGGCAATGCAGGCTGGTTCAGTTCCCTTCTAATTCCCAATCTTGTTTTCCAGGCATCCTGCGGGAGGATGGCACCATCCAGAATGAGACCAGCTGCCAGAGGCTGGCAGAAGTGTCACTGGCCTATGCCAAGGCAGGTGAGAGGTCTTCCTGGAAGTAACCAGTGGGCTGGGATGATTCTTGCTGATGCCCTCCACCCCACTGCAGAGCTGGCAGCAAATAGCAGTTGGTCCCTGCCAAGATTGGGCCAATGTTTAGGGAGGATACAGGTGCCCAAGACATGCTGATATCACAAGGAGCTGCACATACTTAGGCCTATCCCATGTACCTCTGCTTCTACCCACTGTTTGTGGAGTGTCTGAACCAACTCCTCTCTTCCCCTAGCAGAATGCAACATACTCCCCCAGCCAACATGAATGGTAACTTAGCAGCAATTCTCCTGAGCTCCTGACTGTTGAAGCCTGCCAATTCCAGCAAGTGCTGGGAGTTCAGATTGGAGCCTCCCATTCCAGAAGTGACCCCTGCCCCTCTCCCCCAAAGCAGGGAGTGCTTTCTGCAGTTCCTTAATGTCTGTGGTCTCTCCTTTTAGGATGCCACATCGTGGCCCCTTCAGATATGATGGATGGACGCATTGCATCCATAAAACAAGCCCTGATCTCCAACAACATGGGCAACAAGGTGAGCAGGTAACAAGCATATGCTCTTGTCATGAATGGCTCCACCTGGAGTTCTGTATGGCAGGGACATCACAGCATGACCAGGGTGTGGCAGTGAGGGGTTCCTCTGTTTCCACAGCAGTTGGCCAACAGATTGCATGGTAGATGCCATGGAGGCACTCCCCAGAGCACATGGTTGGGAACAGAGTAACCTGGGGATCCAGGCCACACTAGAGGGGAGTGGATCCAAGGTCCCCCATGAATGGAGAACTGGAGAACGTCATGCAAAAAGAACAGCTCCCCCAACCCAGTTGTTGACCAGGACACAACTGTGACATTCCCTGTGTCTCTCCTACTTCCATAGGTCTGTGTGATGAGCTACAGTGCCAAGTTTGCTTCCTGCTTCTATGGTCCCTTCAGGTAAGCTTCTCACAAAGGCAGGGGTGAGTGTGAGCAGCCTGTGCGCCAGACTTCACCTCCAACCACAGAGGGCTTGCATTTGACTTAGGGATCTAAACTAGGACTCAGCCAAGAGTCCTGCATATAGGTTCTGGGACTCAAGATAACAGGTTCTCTGTGGGGGCAGGCACACGCTGTCTCCCCTACTACCTCCAGAGTTGACTTCTGTGCCCACCCAGCTTCACCTGGGCCTCTGCTCACAGCCTTTTGGGAGCAAGGGTGGGCAGGGCAGGAGTAGCAGGAGTTAACATCTCCAGAACCCTGCTGGTGAATGGCATGGATCTTTTCCTTGTCCCTTGGTGTGTGTGTCAGGACAGGCCCTAGCTCACTCAGGTTCATTCCTGGAGGAAACTTACCACTGTTAGGAATTGCAATTTACTGGTGTCCAAGGCCTCCAAGGGTCCCCTGGCTCAGAACAGGGATGGAGAAGGTCTGAACTGCCTGACTCTCAGCCACCAGGAGTAGGGGGGACAGTGATGAAAGACCATGTCTGGCATGTGTCCCAAGGGAGACTGCTCAGTGGGGCAGTCGGGGTTCCTAGCCTGTTGAGTGCAATGGGGTGAAGGCCTTCTTAGTTGCCCCCACCTCCTGGAACTGAAAGGAGAAGTTGGGGCATTGCCCCTGCCTCTGTGTCTATGAGAGGGCCACCCTGTTGCCTGAGCTCTGCCAGAACTGTTTGGTGGGAATTCTTTGCAGTCTCATACTGATCCCTTGTCTGGTCTCTTGTGTTACCAGAGATGCTGCTCAGTCCAAACCTGCCTTTGGAGACCGGCGATGTTACCAGCTTCCTCCAGGTGCCAGGGGCCTGGCCCTGCGAGCTGTGGTGAGTGAGCTTGCCACAGGGGATGCCACACAGCATCCCACAAACCCAGTTGTCCCAGGAGCATCCTCATCCCTGGGCCTTTCTCCTGTTTTTCATGTCCTGATGTGAACACTTATGTGAGAACTGAGGTGATGCTGAATTGTGCTGGGGAGTGAATCACACCTGTTCCTGCCCTCCAGAGAGCCTGGGCACAGCAATAGGGCCGTGGGCCCGTGCATGCCGAGCTGAACAGGTGCCTCTGGCTGGGAGAGGAGTATGTCAGGTGTCAGGGGAAGTGGAACCAAGTGCATGAGATTAGCTGTGCACCATGAGGGAGGAGCAGCAGTGAATTGCACTGACTTGGAAGAGCTGTGAGTTTCTCCTGTGAGCTGGAGAAATATCAAGTCCTTTGTTACCACCCAGCTCACCAATTGCAGCTAAATTGTCTGTTAGCAGGGCTAATGCCTTTTCTTGGCATGTGGGGCTTCAAAAGTAGGGTTAGGAGAGGCTGGTTGTGCTGGAGCAGGACTCTGTGTCCCATCGAGCTGGCCTCACCAGGGGTCCATGTAACAATGTCACATATGTTTGCCCCTCCCAGGCACCATAGCAGCTGTTCTCTGATGAGGAGAACTGAACTTCCCTCTCTCCCACCCCAGACCTGCTTGCCCAGAGACTTCAGGACCTGCTAAGCCAGGAACTGTAGGGCTGGCTCAGCCTTCCAGTTTCTCTTCAGCCCTCTTGTAGTTGCCAGCAATGTGAAACAGGAATGAGGACTGAACTCCGGCTCTGCATGGAGTGGCTAGCTCTGGTGCAGTGAAGAGCATCAGCCTATTTAGCACCTCTGGCTATTCTGCCAAAACATTGCTCCCTGTCCTGGTCCTTGTTTTAAGCATAGCAGCCTTCCTGCTAGAGGAAGAGCAGAAACGTGACTTGTGTTGGCCTTTTTGATACATCTCTCACACCTGGGTCTATGTGGTGTTGCAGCTCCCACCCTGTTACTGCATGGAGGTTCTTGCTGAGTACAGAACAGCTGCTGTTGGTCCCTCTAGTTGCTGTGTGCATGCGTTTGGGGGAGGGACAGAGGTGGGTTAGGGTTGCACAGAATGCACAGAGTGCTAAAAAGAGCCAGACAAACTCAATCTCTCCTATGGGAAACATTGTCTCTTCCCTCTGGCACCAGTTCCTAAGCCACAGCTATCAGGTGAACCAGCTGGTCTTGCCATATTCGTGTCCTGCCCCATGTCTGTGCAACTCACAGATTCCCGGACTTGTGTTCTCCTTCCAGGACCGAGACGTGAGGGAGGGAGCAGACATGCTGATGGTAAAGCCGGGGATGCCCTACCTGGATATTGTGGGAGAAGTCAAAGCCAGGGTAAGCTCCACACATGTCTGCAGGGGAATGATGCTTCTAATATCACTGTAAATGGAATGAGAGGCTGTAGGGTTGGAATAAGCTAGTTCAGGAGGGGGACCCCTTTAAAACCAGAGAGGCCTCTCAGCCTCACGAAGAGCACGGAAGGCCTTGAGCTTCCTCAGATGAGTGTGTCCCCTGGGGAAGAGCAGAAAGGAAGAGGGCCTTTTGTACAGACTCTTGCTCTTGGTTTCTCCATGATGCTCCAGTCTGGAGGACATTCCACATCATTCAGTCTAGGAGGAGACCCTGGGGGCCTGCTGCTATAGCCTGTGCCATGATTAGAAGTTTAGTTCCTAGGCTGAACTATGAGGTTCCTCTGTTTTGTCAGCTCTGCCTGCTGGGGCTGCTGCAATCTTGCTATTGGTCATCTCCACATTTTTACTCCTTGCACTCCGTGCATTTGTACAAATCTAGCCATGTGGCCAGAGTAAGCTATCGCATGATGTCCAGCAGTGGCCTCTGCTCCCCTGTGAGACCATGGCTGTGTTGGTGGGATTGCAAAGGATGTGTACAAGCTGTCTCCTCCTAATTTCCAACTCACAAAGCTTTGGGTTTCTGTGACTGCAGCAAAAAATGCATTGGACCCCTACTTTGTACCCTAGACAGAGCTCAGAAGAGCTATACCCTGCAGCTCAGTGTTGTCTCTCTAACTTTTTTGCTGTTTTCAGCATCATGCCCACCCACTGGCAGTTTACCATGTATCTGGGGAGTTCGCCATGCTGTGGCATGGAGCAAAGGCTGGTGCCTTTGACCTAAAGGCTGCTGTGATGGAGGTGATGAGAGGGTTCAGGCGAGCAGGTGAGTGGGAGGATGGGTTGGCTTTGTACCTAACAAGTACCTTAGGAGCTCTTTTCTTTGCCTCTGGGTCCAGTGCAGGAGGGGTGGCATTGTAAAGCCCTTGCAGTCATTCCAGGATTTCAATGCCAGTCAGTGATTGTGTATTGAGCTGAAGGCTGACATTGGACCACAAAGCCAGGTCTGAGGAAGGTGTTCACACACTCAGCCCTTAATGAAGACCTGTTTCTAGATCGTGCTATACCGCTGCTCTGTGTGGCTCAGGCTCTGTGAGTTTTTCCTATGTAATCAATAACAATTCAAGAGAACCAGGTCTCCCTGACTTTTTAGTAAGCCTGATATGTGGCTGTAGCAGGAGGCTGGAAGCCAGGACTCCTGGTTTTGTTTCCAGCTGTGCCACTTCCTGTGTTACTATGTGAGTTTTTGCATTTTCCTACTCTTCTGTTATACCATTCATAAAGCAGGGATGTCTCCTACTTCCATGGGCTACAGGGAGCCTTCTGGATGAAAGATGCTGTATATGTTAACCTGGGTTTATTTCTGAAGACATCTGGCTGTGAAAACACAGCAGCCCCTCCCTGGTGTGGGTCTTACTTCTTAACCTGGTTAGTTAAGATGAGACACACAACCTTGCTCAAGCCATGCTTAGTGGGTTAACCCATAATCCTCCCAGTTGCCAGTGCTTTGATGCAATCATTCCACCTCTTTGATCTGGCTTGTGGAGAATGAAAGTTTCTCTATGTGATGCTGGGTGGAAGGAGTCAGAGGCAGGAGTGTGCAGTTCTCTCAGAGGGCCAAGAGACTGCTTGAATTGTGGCCCATGGATTTTACTATAAATTCAGTACTTAAAAGCTCCCCACTGTCAATGCAGAATGTGAGAGATCACAATGCAGGGTTAGTGTTTCAAGATACCTGTGGACACAGGTCTGTGTCACCATTTGTCTTGCTTCCAGTTCACATTGTGAGCACTATAAATTACACAAAGCCTGAGATTCTGGAGAACCTGAATGTCACATGGAGCATGTAAATGTGGCCTATGGTCAGTCCATGCCCAGCCTGCAGACTTCATGGCTGCTGATGCTGGGTTAGAGGGAGTGGCACCTGGCCAGGCTGGGGAGCAGGGATGATGCTGCAAGGCTGGTGGGTCCTTCCTGGGGCACAGCATCATTTGCTTTGGGGTAGCAGAGCAGGCTAGCTTAGTGCTGCATTTCCAATAAATCCTCACATGTTCCTTGCTGCTGTTACAGGGGCTGACATCATCATTACCTACTTCGTGCCCCAGCTGCTGAAGTGGCTGAAGGAGCAAGAGGCATGAAGTGCTTCAATAACACGAACAAGTAGAAGGAAACCTGCAAGGGTTTGAAAAGACTGTGAACCAAACAAGATTCCTGTGGGGTCTTAAACTTAGAGCCAAATTCAGCTCCAGTGTGAGCAGACACAGTGCCATCAATGACACGGGCACTGCAGCCTCAGATTCAGGCTGACTTTGGCCCAAAGACACCAATGGAAACTAGTTTTTACAAAATGTTATTTTAAATTTGGGCTTTAAGGCTGAGACCCTCACAGAGCAGCGAAAGGCACCTGGGGCCAGAGCTGATCCCTCCAGCAACCTGCTTTAGCGAGAAACCTAATTTATATGATGGTCTATTTTAAGGTGGGGCATACTAAATTTCCCAGCTGCTACAGGATTCTTTGTGGAGGAGGGACCTATTTCTTACTGCTCCCCTCAGCTAGAGTCACATCCTTCCCAACCCAGCCTGGCTGTTGCTAACACAGTGGGAGCCTAATGTGGGGGATTTGGCTTGCTAAGAATATTGACCTGCTTGGCTCCTTGGGTGGTTCTCAGGCTTTCCTTGGAATTTTCCCCCTCCAGCACACTAAGCAAAACAAGCAATCTCTTTGTTGCAGCCCTCAGCTTCCTGCCCCATGTCGCATCAGCCAGTTTCTTTGTGGAGTCTCTTGTGCTTTCCCTTTTGTAAACACGCTGCTGTTTTAAACGTTTAAATACTTAAACATCCCAAGCACCTTCAGAGCTGGGGGGGGGTGGCGCTCCCCCTCCAGAGCACATGTGCCTTGTGGTCATTGTGGGGGGTAGAGAATACAGTGTAGGTTTTCAGCAGTGGCCTTGCTGAATTTAGGGTGACAGGGTATGGGGGGCTGGGCAATGAATGCTTCATGGGCTTCAAGAATCAAATGTCCTGTGTAAGGAGCCTGCTGCATGTTCTAACTAATGCTCCTTCAGTCTCTCAGCCCTGGGCACCCAAACGCCTAGCTCCCAGCACTAAATCTCAGTTCTTGCCTTCAGTTCCCTGAGCTGTCGCCTTGTATTATCAAAACAATCATTTTCAAAAATGTTTCTTTGCTTTTCACTAGAATTTTAAAATAACAGGTTTTTGACCCAATGTCTCGGTGTGGTATTTGAAGCTCCGTCATTGCAGGAAGGATCAGGAGTGAAATTCACTGTACTAATTGCTCATTGTCCAACTAGCAAGGGCTAAAAAGTGCTGGATTGGCTGCTGCAGCTGCACTAATGCAAGCAGATCTGTGACCTTCCCTAGAGGTACAGTCAGCTAACAATTACATGCCTTGGTGTCTGTGAACCATGTCAGGAATCCCTTGTGCTGATAGCTTAATGTGCTGCATTCTTTCCAAGGTCTCACAAACCATAAAGAAACCTAGTCCAGGTGCTTTATGCTATGGCTTTTCTAGTAGTGGGTTTCTGCCTGTGATAAGTTGAGGAAGTGGAATAAAATCCTTCTCTCCACAACTGAGCAGAGACGAGACCAACGCTTCAGATCTAATTGTTTATGGTGGCTGAAAGTTTCATCTGCAGGCCCCTGTGTTATAGCCAGGGTAAAAGGCAAGTGCTCTGGGAGGGGGAGTCTTAGTGGAGCATAGATGGCCCTTCTAGGGATACTATATTTCCAGTTCCAAAAAAGAGGACACCTCTTGTGTGCACAGCAGGGTGGGAGGGTATATGACTGTGAGGGGCAGTGATATGATGGTGCCCTGGCCCTGCCCATTCTATTGCCTCTCACTCCCAAACCACAGACCCCCAGCCCTGCTGCAGCCCCTCACTCCCAACCTGGGGACCCCTAGCCCTGCCAGTGGCCCTCACTCCCAACCCACAGTCCCCTGCCCCCCTGGGTCATGCTGGTGCCCCTTACTCACAACCTGCAGCTCCCCCTGTCCCTGCTGGTGCCCCTCACTCCTGACCCGCAGCCCCTGCCCCACACTCTGGACCCACAGTCCCCTGCCCCTCGCTTCCAAGCCACAGCTCCCTGCTCCTTCCGTCCCCCGGCTGCCCACTCCTGCAACCTTTTTCACACAGTGGGCTGCTGGCTACAGCTCGGCCCCCTCCACGAGTTGCAGCCCCGTGCCCCATATTGATCAGACACCGCTGCAAGAGGAATGGATAGAAAAAGGCAGGTGGTAGGATGGTGGGGATGTCTTCTGTGCTGAGGCAAAGAAACTAAACTGAACCTGGTAGGTGTCAGGACCCTCGGGACATCTCCTCTGCCCCCAGGCGGCCAGACGTTTCCCAGGTGCCTGCACATCTCCTCCCAGTGTCTGCAGGCACCTCTGCCCTCACACAGCTGATCGCAGACATTTGATTAGATTTAAAAAACCCGCCCAGACAGAGATTGGAGGATCAAAAAAGAGGACATGTCCGGGAAAACCTGGATGTATAGTAACCCTATAATGAGGGTCCTGTAGTGTAATTGGTAACTGCTAATCCTGAGTCAAGGTCTTCTTTGTGAACTGTAGGGAACGCTAATGTGGGGGGAGCCCTGATGCCAGAGAGAGTCTGTGGGGCACTATTGGTGCCTGCCACTTTAAGGGCTCAGAGCAGGCAGCTGAGTGGCTGGCAGGTGCAGGCCCCGCCCCCATGATGAGGCAGTCACATGACTGCAGGCGGGCCATGGGATTGGAAGAAGAGGCTGAGTAGCCTGCATTTTGACTCAGGGCTGAGGCAGCAGTCTGCCAGCTGGCAGCTGCTGCTCAGCTCATCCTTGGAGGTAAGGGCAGGAGCTACCGGAAAGGCGGAGGCCCCCAGTCCTGGGGCATGATCAAACCCTGCACCCTGCTGGGGACTGAGGGAGCAGTTCCCCAGAAATGCCAGGCTGGTCGCCTCCCCAGTGAGATGCGGGTCGGGGCGCCTTCTAACCCCAGCTCCCACGACCCAGTGGGTAATTTTAGAGCAGGAACAGGCAGTAGGGGCCAGGCATGTCTGTGGGCACCTGAGCCCCAGTACGGGGGCAGAAGTGGGTAGAGGCCCGCCCAGGGCAGGGTGCCCGGTGGTGCCTGACAGGCTGTGCGTGAGGGGGGTGGAGCGGGGTCTGCACGGGGGCCAGCCCCTGCAAGTGACAACATGAGCAAGCTGCCCGTTGAGGGGCTAGTGGCTGAGTTCAGCCCAGTGTGAGGCATAAGGGCAGTGGCTGAAGGGCTGTGTGGGCTGGCCAGAGTGTGAGCAGGAAAGCCTGAAGGGCCGTGTGGAGTAGGGCCCAAGGGGGACCCGAAGGGGCTGCACAGATCCGTGGCCCAAGTGAGGGGCGCCACACATGAAGCTCGGTGAGGGGGCAGGGTGAATAAGGCCCCGTGAGAGCGGGCGGGGGGGTGAGAGGAGTATGCTAGAGGCCCAGCAAGGGGCAGAGTTTAGCCTGGCCTCGCACGGAGCTGTTATCAATGTGTGATGCCCTCTGCGAGGTGTGGGACACGATATGGGTAGGTCAGAGCTGTGTATAACACCCCGGGCATCAGGGCATTAAATGGGCAGCCTCCCGCATATTTACACCGAAATAATTCAACAAGAAATTGTGGCAGAAGAGACGGGGCAGACTGCCCCAGACAGGTGGGTGGGCCGACATTTGATTGGCCTCGTAACGGCCCCTGTCACGCTCTGGAAGGTTTTAGAAGAACATCTGAAAGAAAGAACAATCAACATATGGAAATGACATAAAAATGCAATATGGGTTTTCCAAAGAGATTGTGCCAAACTAATCTGCTCGCTGATTTGTGAAACAACAATGCTTTATCAAAGGAAACATGGAAGATTTAATCTTTTGTGTGAACTTCAGAAAGCCATGGATGCTATATGGCAAACTTATAGTTAAGCTACATTTAAAGTTTCTGTAATGCTTATGCCCATTTTCTTGAGTACGAGAACTTGAAGCTAGATTAAGAACTAAGGAAAAGTGACAGGAAGGCTGTGTAAGAAGAGAGAGGCTGTGAAAGACAAGACAGTAGGGTGGAAGGAAGTGAATAGAGAAGTTCCTCAAAGGTCACCCTAAGACAGTGGTTCAAACTTTTTAGACACAAGGCACCCCTCAGAAAATGTCAGCTGTTAGTTTTCACTTGGTTTTTGCCTACAGAAACATAATGGAGTAATAATTCTGTTGCAAAGAACACAGAAAGCCCACAGCGGGTCAATGTTTTTAACGTAGTGGATTCCTATTTGAAATCTCTGGGTTTATCTTGTGAATTGTGCCTGCCCTCCCAACAGTGCTAACACTGAGTGGCACCCCACAGCACCCTTGAAAGGATCTCAAGGCACCCCAGGGGTCATGACACCCTGATTGAGTATCACTGCTGTGAAGCCTGATTTGACATAAGTGATTTAGGCAGCAATAGTAGAAGCATGCTGATGACATTTGCTGGTGATGCAAGAAGCACCATTGATGAGAAATGGGGTGTCTTTCAGGAAGAATTGATTCACTTTTTCAGGACTGGCACGATAGAAATGGGAGGAAATGAAGGGGCACGAAGTGCAAGGTCATGTGCCCCACCCGTGAAAATGTTTGCCGTAAAACACAGGCTGTGTTGGAAATGGCAGAGGCAAAAGATCGATTGCCCAGAGCCACACCAAGTGGATGTAACAATGCTGCTCCACAGGGCTGTGACGCAACCGTGTGGGGAGCTGGTTGCATTTGAAGAGCAGGAGCTCAAACAAAAACAGTGTAGG